AATCAGCAGAAAAAACAGTGCCGCCGCCTTCAGTGGGGTAAACACCGGCCATTGGGGGTAAATTTTAAAAACAAAATTTTTCACATTGAAAAGGCGAAGACGGTCTTAATTATGCATAGCCAACAAAGCCACATATAAGGCATAATTAGGAATCCGTCTGCATTTCAAATAAGTCACACTACTCGCAAGAAAACAAAAAGTAATTCACTAAAGCTACTAAAGCAAAAATGTAAGAAGTGTAGAAGTAACGAAAGGAAATTGAACGAAAAAGGAAAAAATGATGAAATAAAGGAAAAATGATTAGGAATATGAATCCTTACCTTCTACGTAGGCAATAATCGAAAGTATCGAATAGAAAAAGACAACGGTTGCCGAGTACATTGATTTCACTACATTGATAAGGCGTCTCACGCCGCCGCAGCAGAGACCGACTTGGAATTCGCTGGCTGGAAAATCGCCCCAGCCGTCGTTGTCGTCGTGGTCGTGAAATCGGGTGGGGCGGAGTCACACAGGCGAAATGAGGGGCGGAGATCGAGACCCCGGCCGTCGTTGCGGGTTGCAGCTACTGCTGTGCTACGCAAAAGGCAATTGATGATGGCAGAAAGGGCGGCGGTCTTCTCCGGGTACAATGAAAAAACGCGGAAAGCGATGTCCATCACACCCCGAGCAAATCCCCGTGGGACGTGCGGAAAAAAACGCGGCCAGATGGGGCGATAAGCCATGGATTTCAATTAGCCGTTCGCCGACTGACCAAATGGAAACGCTTCAGCTCAAGCGATTGCTGACTGAACGAAAAAACGGCTGCAGAGGATGTTCTGAATGGATTAGCGCAGGAGTGGAGGGATTCAGTATAGGTCAATCCTTTGAGATGCGCCGCGTACTTCGATGTCCACTAAGGATCGTTGAACTATTGGATTGGTGCTCAGCAAATACCAGGTCAAGTCGACCTTCAGATCAGTCGTTCTCCTTGAAAAATGCTCAATGAAGTCAACTAAGGATTGACCGGTTCTGTGGTATTTGATGAGCACCCGGGCCACTTCAGGCTGGTTTGACAAGTTTGAGTAGCTGTCAAAGGGCGCGCCGCATCTCATGTGGATGGCGAAGAACGCTCTGCCTCAAAAAGGTTCAAGGACTTCCTCCAACTTCTGAGATCGAAGACCTTTGAAGGAAACTATAGTTATCGACAGTTCTCTCACTAAATGCAGGGGTTTTGCTGATCTGAGAAAGATTTGATCGCACAACCTGTGACAGTGTGACGCTGCGCCTCTACTCACTGCGCTGCGCCTTCCTCTAGTATTCACTTTGTAAATTAATGTTTAAGGTTTGATCTCACGAAGTTTTTCCTGCTGGAATTTACGTTACCTTCAGAAATTTCCATTCTCGCTGTTAGTTTCTGACCAGGGTCAACAGTCACATCCGCGCTCCTTGAAAAGTTCTGCGACCCCTCCACCCAGTCTCAGAAGGCTCCTCCAATACGATCCCCCTTCCCACTTCTTCGATCATCCGACCATCACCCTCACCACAATGGCTGTTTCTATAGTATTTTATTCTGAGACCAGTCTATAAAATCAACTCCGATCACTTTTCCCTCCACTTCCCACCAAAACGGCCGCCGACCAGGCCGGGGGGGGGGGATCAATTGGTATCGCGAAGCAGATATCCGCCATTTTTGCCTATTCTCACTACTTTCGTAAAACTTTCACCAAATTCGTCAAAAAACCCGTCCAAACACAACCCCACCAACCCCTTCAACGACCTCCGTCAACCTCCGTTCCCACTATGATAACCTTGCTCAACCCCAAAATGCGACCCCTTCCCGGGAATTATAAATGCGACCCCCTCGTTAGAATAGTGCGAGCGGACGGTTGACCCTGTTTCTGATTCTGCGTATGGTCTTTGCATCAGTATGTGGCGCTGTTTTGGGCTCGATGATTCACAAGGAGCGCTGAGTCACAATTGCCTTAAAATGTCTATGTGGAGAAGGCTTTCAGTACATCGTTCTTCTTGTTTTTCTTCCTCACCAGCAAACGTCTTCGTACCTCTTGTTTCACTTTCGAGCGCATAACCCATCAATCTGATTGGACGCTGCCTTTAGGCCCTCTTTCGTAGATTTGGATTTGAAAATGCCGCTCAACCCCTGGGACATGTCACGAATACGACATCCTTTCAACATTGCCAATGTGGTGGATTGAGTACACTCAACGGTACAGAGGAGATGGAACCAATGAAAGGCCTCATAGGTTTTGTACGGTTGCACCATGCAACAGAACTATTACTCAAATCGTTGAAAAAAATATTTGAGATTACTTCTGCCACGTCGATCGGCAAAATCGTCTTGCAGCGATGTGGTATGTTGGTCGGCTTCGTTTGCTTGCGTCATGAAGTAAATGTCATCAGAGCGGACATGAATGGTACGATGGGTGATAGTGCAAACCTTCCAAATTCAAGTCTCTCGTGCCATTCTTAAAGGCACAACCCAGGCAGAGTCGTGTGAACGCTTCCCTTCGGTCTGTAGTATAGACCCCTAGAGGACAATCACAAATGTGGCGTTCCCGTGCACGGAAACCAACCGACAAGAGCGCTTGGGCCTTGCAAAGTAAGCTGCTGAAGCTGCAGATTTTTTCTTATCAGGCTGTTGTCTGGCGCTCTCTCATCTGTAGCGCTCTCTCGCCTCATACTCTCCTCTCCGCGCTTAGTCTCTCATTCCCTTAGCACAGCCGATTAGGAAGGTGAGTGAGCCCTTAACCTAAGCGTTTTCGACGGATTCTTTTCCTTTTTTCTTTACCGCTGGCCCACTTCGCACCACACTATTTGTATTCGTGCGCAAGAGCCACCCAATGTGATCATGGGGCACGCCTTCTATGCACCCCGTGGGAAGACGTGCTTAAGGATCCGGAAAAAAGATCAGTGAATGGCTTACTAGACATGGGAGAAAATCGGTGATAGAATTCATTATTTTCTCAATCGCATATCCTGAAAAATAAGCGAAGAAAACTAAAAGCACCTCGGCGCTGGTCCCATCCCTTTTGTATGCGCCGTGCATGCTAAACCCACACACCACCACCGCACACCACACACACTTGTTACAGCACCGTACTGCATATCTAATCGACTTGGTCTGATTCAACGGCTTGGAGGGCCACGAGAGGTCAAATTAGTGTTTCTAACTTCTCAAACAGTTTTGGTGCCAAGTGATTGACCCTAGAGAAATGCAAGCCTCGGTTGGCCAGGATGACGTGCAGAACTCAGTGAAATAGGTGGAGGCGAACCTTTCTGATTTTCATTAGGCTAGAAGGAACCCCCTGCCCCCCTAAATATTGATAGGTCCAGGTGCCTCACTCACGCACAGAAACCCGCTACGCTACGAACGTTGCGTCAGTTATTACGCCACACTTCTCAAAGAACGTTGGAATGGGTGTGGTGGCAAATGGCACCATTTACTACGGTGCAAGCCCTGCACTGTGCGCTGTCCGGCCAAGCAAGCCTTCTATCTTCCAGCATCGGTCAGTAGGTACGAATTCGTGTGGGAGGATAGAAGCGCTGACTCGTCATCGCTGGCCACGCAAGTCATTGGCAGACCAAATCATGTCCATAATACCACGACGATTCTTGATAGGAAGTGGAATGCTTGACGCATCCTGAAAAAGATTGAATAGCGCCAAGTGCTTCATCTTTTGCACTTTATTCGAAGCCTTCACTTGAAACATGATGATCGCAGAGCTTATCAACTTAAAGGATATCAGATTGATAGTTCCAAAATCGATGGAAAAGCGGTATCTAGGTTGCGTGGAGAACGTGGCTGATATGCGCTCCCTCAAAGAGGAACCTGGGTGAATCATAACCTAAAAGTTGTCTCCAAGGTTAGCTCGTCTACTTTTCTCTCTGTAGCGCAGTCATAGTCTGTTAATTTCACCGTTATACTTTCAGAATCACCTCTGAAATGATGAAGGGGTTATCACACTCGGGGTCGTGGCTTACAGCGCTATTCGTTGTCGCTGAGCTATCACAGGCTATCGAAGTACGTATGGATTGTCACCCTGAACGAGGTGCTTCTCTGGAGAAGTGCAGAGAAAGAGACTGCATTTGGACACCAACAGATCAGGTTGAATATGTTTTTGTTGGAGTTTAATCAACAGCTCCTGCCTATCTACTGAAAGGGCGACTCTATAATTCCAGAAGACGGTACCATGGTGCTATCTGAAGGAGGATTTCGCGTACTCTCAAGTGAAAAGGGAAGGATCTGTGAGTGGTTTTGCTTCTCGAAAATTAGCTTTTTCCCGTCAATATGCAGCAGTACGCAAGCACGGATCAGATGCAGAAGTGTCGGGGTGCTTTGACAAGGTTTAGGCGCTAAGCGTCTGGGTTGGAGCATTGACGCCGCCCCAACCCCTTGAGCCCGTTCAGAACGTAGTCCTCCCAGATAGCGTCTGCACTTCAGCAATCGCGCGAGGCGAAGATGCGATGGGGCGCTGAGGCGAGGGCGACGAGCGTGTAAGTCTGCCCTTGTGCATTTAAGTTCCTTTTTGAGATATTAAGATCTGTTTTGGTAAGTCGCATCCGCCGCACGTATATTTGTTATCTAGCCTGTGTGTTTTTGTATAACGTCTTCCCAAATGGCCTTCCTTCTCACGTCTACTTTTTGCCGTTCAGCTTCCGGGCACACCATTCGAGTACATGTCGATAAACTTACCAGGACGCGTGCGGCACGTGCGTCGCAACTTTCATCGGCGAAACAAGAGGTGCTCCCATCGCTTCATCGCCTCATCGGCATTCATAGCCGAAGTCTCAAACTATGAACGCCAATCTCCAGCTAACAAGCAGAACCGAACACAAAGTTGCCGCTTGATTAATTAAATGAAGGTTAGCGTGCATGGGTCTTACGAATTGATACAAACGGTCTTCCTCCATTCTTCCACTCGAGAGCGAGCGATTCGCAGATCCGCAGGTTCTGCGTCTTAATGAGATTCGCAAACTTAAACTAAGCGTAAGCCAGCGCTTCTTTGAGATGCATTCATTAGTCCGATATAATGGTGGTATCCTGGCTCGGGTGGAGCTGTTTACCTACCCGTTTCCACCGACGGGATCCTGACAAGAGATTGATAAGGGGGTTTGGGTGAAAACCATGCATGATAGCATAAGCCCATAAGATAATAAATTCCGGGCTGCCTTGAGGGATGGGCACTGCTATCCTTCTATTTTATAAAGCGCTAACTTTGTGTGTCGGTTTGTGTATCTGTATGTGTGTGTGTGTGTGTGTGTATGTATGTGTGTCCGTCCGCAAAATGAAGTGAGTGAGAAGGAAGCTCATGGGATAAACAAACCGCTAACAAATCGGGTAGCTTACAGGATTTGAGATATCAATGTTTTGTAGCAGGATAGTTGTGATAACACTCTTAGGGCTATATAAACACCTGCTTAGCACACTTCCGTTCATTCCACATGGTGCTGCAGTGGCAGTGGAGGAGAGGAAGGGAGGATGAGGAAGGGAAGCGAAAAATCTACCGTCATATCATGATTGTGTCCCTTCTACTGTTTGAAACACCATTGTGTTGCATACGCGTCACTTCCAGAGGTGTTGGTGTCACAGGAGGAAGGGACCATAGCGGAGGATAGAAAGCTTGCGCAGGAAAGGAAGGTCCCGGCGGTTGACGGGGGACTAATCTGGTAATTAAATCGTATAATATCGTATGGGTATACGAAGTTATTACGACTTCACGGCAAACCCTCCTGCATATTTATTTATTATGCGTAGTGAACGCGCTGATCCATGACAATACTAGGCTGGAGAGGTTGACCGAGTGAGATAATTTTACAATTATAAAGCAACACAAGAAAAAATAGAAAACAAAAACTCAATAATGACTAAAGACTAAACGATGCCCTAAAATGAGCCTATGGATAAGGAGTGGTGAAAATAGAATACCACGAAAATCGGAGGTCTGCCAATCAAGTGGATCCGGATCTGCTTCTGAATTGTGTAGTAGTTAGGAGACAAGCGGGAAACTTGCATCTGGCAGTAAATGTAGTTGCTAACCGGAAGTGAGTTTCGGCGTCACATAACACCGTTGATAAAGCATCAATTCCACTGAAGCGTCACCTGTCGTCTCAGGTAGGGCCGCTAATCAATCACTACGTGAAGTTTTTTTATCGTTCTCAAGAAACTATTATTGTGGCAACTCCCTTTCATGACATAGATGACAATGAACAAGCAATAAGAAATCGAGGTGGAGGTGGTCAGTGGTGCCGGGATGATGAGCAAACCATGAGAAACAGCCTAGAATCCCAGAAATATAGGACCTGTCATGGCTTCCTAGTCATGATGAAGACTGGATACCCAAATGTCCTGAGGCTAAACCCTTCAGCGCTTACAGTGAACAAGTCTGCGGTACATATATTTTGAATTTACCGCGCACGGATGAAAACCTATTTCAACACGCAATCTACAATCCATACCAACAGTCATGCTCACCAGACCACCTATTTGCACAGGTGTATATAACACCCTCTTTCAGGCGGTATAAAGGGCGCGCTCAAGGCGTCAATGGCTGCCTTCCTTTTGGTTCCCACCTTCAGTTTAGGCTTCTTGCAACACTCTCCCTCTCTCTGGGGCTCCGCCCCACACATCAAACGACTACGGTCGCACTCAAACTATTCCAATTCCATACAACTTCTACGACAACGTTACGACGAAACTGTGCCGGTCGGACTCGCCACCTCATCGAAATGAAGACACAACTTAAAATAGAACGCATACCCCAAGACACCAACAATATGTATACGAGCAATAACAATTCCTGCTTTATACTCTTCTCTCCATTGTATATTTGTTTCTTGTTGTGACAAAATAGATAAACGATTTGTTAAACACTTTGTACACTATCGCTGAACCAAAACAGGACTCCTTCTTTGCCCACTGATTTTCACATAGGTGGGACTCTCTTGGTGTTATCCGCTCTCTCTGTTAAACGGTGGAGTAAGACGGCAAAAAGTTACCTATCAGTAGGTGTGCAGAGCAAGCGCCGCGAGCACGACCCTTCTGGGCAGCTGAGGCATACCCTTCGCTGGGAGACGCGCATCGTCCCGCGCCCTCGGAGGCTGGCTTGCCTTTTGACTACGTACATTTGCTCTTGTCCGATCTCCGACCTTATCGTGAACCTTTCTTTTGATAGAAAGATTTTCTACTTCTTTAGAAAGATTAGCAGATTTGGGAGAATGTTTTCTTACTTATGTACTCTGATCCATATTTTCTACCCATGCTAGTGCAGTGCTTCCTTTTTAGATACAGCGAAATAGAAAAAATATAGAGCAATATTCAGGTGATCACACTGAAGAAAAAGAAAGGCACGAAAAACCCATGGGGTGATGATATCGAGGAAATTCAATTGAAAAGTGACTACATCGGAAAGACCCTCAATGTGAAAATATTTGCAGAAGGACGGTAACGTTCGTATCCAATAGATGATCGTTAAACATGTCTCCATTAATTTTTTACTTTCGCTTAGATACGATCCTCCAGTGGACTTACCAAGAAATCCCTCCGAGTCCGCAGACAATTTGGAGGTGTGCCACGCTGAACAAGAATAGACGTTTTTTCTTTTAGATATGATTCAGGAGCACAGGAGTCAGAAATATAATATTGGGTTGTTCGGAAAGTTTCCACCGATTTCGCGTCCAGCTTCCAATGCCCATATCTCGGTTCAAGCAAAACATTTCAGCGCGAATTTAAAATTTACAATTCCTAGACCTAACCTACAATCGCTAGCGACTTCTCTAGCTATATAACGTGACTTCAATCGATCCAACCCCTGATAGTGCCGGAGTTCTAGAGGCGATGAACTCAACAAAGGTAGTCTCATCATTCATGTTGAGCTGTTAAGATTAATGTTAATTTCTCTTTGGGGAGGCCTCCGGGATGGTTGCAAAAGTGGTAGTCGGTAGGCAAGATTTGTCGCCCAGCTAGTTTAAATTGTGCGGAGACGAGTCTGCGGCGTCCATTGCCGAAATCTTTAACTTACCAAACTCTCTCCTATGTTTGAGAACTTGAATTCCGATACGCCAGTTCACTAGTTTCTACTCCACTCTACAGTTCCACGCAGATTTTTGTCAAGCAAAATCCCATAGTCATTTTTTGTCAACATCCAATATCCAATCTTCACTCCTATCGTTTTTAAGGCTCTCTTTATTCCTTGGAAAGCTATCGAGTCATCGCTGAACAGCTCATTTACTGTTCTATATCGAATACATTGTGGATATCGCAACCTGGCTCCGTTCCTTTCCGGCCCAATTAGACGTGAAGAGGAAAATCATGCGAAGTCGCCCTTTCAAATATGCTCTATTTAAGGCTCCGAAAAAGAGGGGAAGAATTTGGATATACAGCTGACAAAACATTCAGATAGAGCGAGAAACGTGCTTTCCAACGGTACATAAAGTGGTAGTAACTTGCTATAGATTGGTCCAAAACCACACCTCTGAAAATGAGCAGAGAAATCGGTGAAGAATTTGTGAGAAACCTAACATCAAACAGATCAGCAGGGTGCGGGAATAATTGACGATCGAGAGTCGTTTCAAAAGAGAGAATTTTTCGGTGTGCTAAGAGGCCCACGAAAATATCTGGACTCCTACAACTCTAATAAACTCAAAGATTGACATTACTCTAATGCGCGAGCTTTTGCCGATCCCCCTGGACTCGTCCGCGCGGAGGTTCTAAGCAGAAAAAGAAGCAGAAGCAGAAGCTTGCGTATTTTCGCCGCCCGTTAGCTCTCTCTGTCGACCACGCCGACGACGCTGTTTGCTCTTCCGTCGCAGTCCTACTGTTCCTCGCACGACACCGTTCTGGTATCCGTGCGTCAGGCAGAAGGAAGGATGGAGGAGGACGGGCATGGATGCCCGAGATGGACCGCAGGACCGCTACCACATCTCCCCGCTAAGGACTGAGCACTGAGTTGGGCCCGTGCTTCGTAGGTCGTGGTCCCAACTCCGTAGAACTTGTTGTTATTCTGTTCGTAGTCATTTATTCATAGTAGATTTAATTTGAATCTGTGGTTTCATTTGTTATAAGTTATAAGTTGGTTATTCGTTCATAGATTATCAAACGGTGATGCCACGTAGTGTATTTCCTTTGCATGCGTTAGCTTGGTATAAAATGTAAGTACCGCTCGTAGGCCAGGTTCAGGGCCACCCTGCAGCGGGAGCAGTGGCCGTAGTTTACAGGTTGATTGGCATGGCGTAGATCAATGGGTCCGGGTGACCGGCAGCAACCGTAGGGGTTGCTAGGGCCGTCGGTGCTTGCCCCCCGCGTGAAGAATGGGAAGAGCGGGCGCAGCGTGAGTCCGCGATCGATCGATCGATCGGATCGCGATCGACCGCACGCCGACATGGACGACGCTCCAAAGCTGGGTGAACCCCGATGCTTCTGAGTTTATGTGAGAAGCAAGACGTCCGAGCCGGCGCAACACGGGCCATGCTTCAGCCATGAGCGTGTAATATATGAACATGTAGCTCACTACCGGGAGATCCTCGTTTTTGATGAAATCTGCGGTTGAGAAGACCCCAGATTCTTTCACAGATCGTGCCACCATCCGTGGCAGTAGCATGCTTCTCTTTGGTGGCGGGCTCTGCCACGTTCACTGATACTCTGTGCATAACCCAGCGGAATGCAGTTTTCTCTAAGCCAACCTCACTATGAAATCAAGTGGGTCCTACTCTTCGTTATGCAGGATATGAAGAAGAGGCCACCTTCTTAGCTCAAAAGTAAAATTTCGGATTAAACTCGCTTAGACTGAACAAACCTTTCCTCACTACGATGTCGGTCGACCGGTACCGAATTTATTTGGAGACGTCGGGGAAACACTAACTTGTACTTACATAAGCTGATCCCCTCAAGTCATTGTGTAAGCCAAACAGTAACGTCCAGCTGCTGCTACGATTTCGAGGAGGAATATTTGGAATGCGTGGCGTATCCCAATACGGCGTTGATCCTGAGCCATGAATTGATTCAAGAACTTTCAGCTTATCACCGAATCGTCAAACGACTCGTTTCATTTTGTGGTTACACGAAATTCAACAGGAGCACATCTTTTCGACACCTCAATAGGTCTAAAGAAACTCCTCTCTCGCTTATGGGCCATTTACACAGGAGGGGATTTGCAAAAATCCCTTTCAGGTGGTTTGATGTTTTCTGACAAGTTCCTGCAAATCGCCACGTACTTGCCGTCAGACGCTATGTATGGATGGGGAGAAAATGCTCATCCAACTCTTAAGGTGCTTCTAATTCTATGTTAATTGAGTGATCTTATGGAGCCTGAACTAAGCTACATCTACTTCAGCATGACTTTTCCATATATCGCACATGGGGTATGTGGGCAAGGGATGAGCCTCCTCATTCAACAGAAGTGGATACGAAGAACCTCTACGGTAGCGCCCGAACACCGCGACGTAAGAGCTCTTGAGTGCCTATCAAACAAGCAGATTCTATTCAGGAGTGCATCCTTTTTATATGGTCCTAGAACCAGATGGCAAAGCTCATGGAGTGCTTATCCTCAACAGTAATGCACAGGTAGTCTTTGAGCAGTACCGAGAAACTGATTATCACTCTTATCTGAATCACATTCAGCAAGTGACGACAGCACCTGGTCCTGCGATAATCTATCGAACAATTGGTGGAAATTTGGACTTATACTTCTTCCCTGGACCAACTCCTGAAGAAGTGACTCAACAGTATCTGTCCCTTATCGGGAAACCAATTTTACCTGCCTATTGGGCGTTGGGATTCCAGGTAAGGCGGTCATGGAGTGACAGAAGATATATATCAGTATTGCTCTCTATGCAATGACTGCAAATTATTGAAGGCTCTTCTCGCGACTGAATATTGGGGTTCGAACAAGAAAACTATTGTGATAACCGATTCTCAGTAAGGAAAGGGAGCAAAAAAATCCCAAAAACCGTCAAAGTCACATTCCGCGCTGAGTTTGCACCTCACCTCCAGCCTCGACCGACTTCTGTGCCGAATCCTATCGTATCTTACCGCATCGGATAGAACAGCTGACCAATGAAACCTCTGTTGGGGCAGGTGCGAACTCCGCCCACTTTTTTGCCTGCAACGTGGAGAAGGAGAGATAACGAGAGTTTTTAGTAAATTTTTTTATCTCGCTTTCTTTTAATAAAAACGAACAAATCGACATGACCACGTTCTAGAGCGGACGTAAACAACTCGGAATGACGTGCGACCGCAGAACATGCTTTTGAGTCGCATCCTTAAGTTGTTGTAGGACTGCCACTCAGGTGATTTCAGCTGTCACGGTATGGTTACAAGGATTTGGATGATATGAAAACAACCATAGAAAGGAACATGAAGGCCGGTATCCCCTTGGAAACAGTTGTGGTTGATATTGACTTCATGGATCGATATAAAATGTTTACTGTTGGTAAGGTATGTTTTACTGCCGTTTTAGTGAAAAAAAGCTCAGTAGATGGTTCGATAAATTGGCTATAGGTTAACGGTGCAGCGGGTAAAAATAAGGAAGAAAAAACGGTTTGAAATATGCTGAACGAGACCCCTTTAACTGGTGGTACACACGTGTACCACTTCCATAGTCGAAGGCACTACCTCAGTTTTGAGACTTATTCAGACTGAAGTGTCCGGTTGATGGCGTAATTGTGCGCATATAGAAATGCTATAAAAATTATCTGATAACAAACTGTTACGAGCGATAAAAGATGGGGTTATCGGCGGAATCAGTTAGGGGACTACGCGCCGTTCCGCGACAGTGTTGGGACTTCCAGCCTCCAAGATTCTCACAGTTCTGATGGCGCGGCAGTGAAATCGGAGGGCTACTACGACGACACAGATTTTTTAGCGGTAGAAGACGACGAAAACTTGATGGAGCACAAAAACTCGGTGACCCGCTTCTACAGAGTGCGGTGTCCCATTTACACTTCAAGAGTATTCATCTAAGCGATGATGGTGTGATGGCAAGTAGAGGCGCTGCTGCGTTACGTCAGCAAATTTATAGATGCAATTGGGTGTTGTTCAGGTAGCGAAAATACTTCAAAATACGAATACAAAAAACATCGGGTATACTTAATTTAAGAGAAGTCGAGTCTGATTAACTGTTGATCTTAGTAGAGAGTCTTGCCGGAGCCACTCGTTAGGAATCTCTTATCAACCACGCCAAAGAAGGGGTAGAGTCCAGTGGCGAGTAAGGAGCTGCTGAACCGCTCATTGGAGGGCAGGCAGAGGCACGAAGGTGTAACGAGGGATGAGTGAAATTTTGCCACCACCTCCTCCCCGTAAAAGCGTCGAATTCTTCTTGAACGGCCAATCTGTTTGCAGTACGAGAATCCCCTTTTCCCAATTTATCGTACTGTTGTGCTTGAAAATCGATGCACGAGTCATTTAGGATAAAAAGACTGTAGGGTATTTTCTGATCCATATTTAGCAATAAATTGAACGAGCTAAAAATTTAATCGGCGCACATTTGTGACTCAATCGAATCAGCAATTATTAACACGGAAAGCAGCACCTTAGGCCAACGAATTCCGTAGCTGAAATAAGTCTGCGAATACTGGAAGTAACCTCGAGCCTTTGCAGACATTTGAAGGACTCGCGGAATATTTGAAGGAAGTGCAGAGTTGGGGTATGCGCGCGATACTACTTTACGACCCAGGAATTCAAGTCGATGACGAGCCTTTTAAGAGAGCGCTGCAAAATGGTGAGTAAGGTTTGAACAGCCTCAGTTTGAACAAAGGATCAAAATGAAATTGTTCAACCAAGTTTTCCCCCAGTTTTCAAGAAAAACAATTTTTTCCAAACATAGTGCGCCAAAAGTTTGGAAATTCCGCAACATCGAAACAAATTGAGAAAAAAGTCAACAGTGTTTCGCCGAATGCTTTTATGCCATGAGCGTATCTCTGCTGGGCCTTGAGTCTGTTGAAACTCAACATCAGACTGAAGACGACGCCCATTCCTCACGAAAGATTAAAGTTTTCAACAGTACTCCTCACCTGAATCCTACTATACATAGTCGGCTAAGTGTGTGTGTGTGTTTGACCGGAAATTCATAGCTCGAGTCACAGTAACGACAGCGCAGTGGTTCTTACACATGTTATAGGGGGTTGGATGGGGGCTCAAGTGGTATGATAGGAACTGATAACGACTGATAATAGCTGATAAGAGGGGCTAGAAAGCGAGCATCGCCAATTTCGTTTTGTCGTTCATATTGGTACTAGAGCGTCTATACTTACAAGTGTTATGTGGGGCGGTCCCGGGACATTGGTGGTACATGATGGAAGCGATAGCAACTGATAAGGGCTGATAAGATGCGCTAGAACGCAAAAGTCGTCGATTCCGTTGCTGGCTCACGTTACATCAGGAGCAGTCATACTTAAAGTCCTTATTGAGTGTGGGACGGGAACATTATTGGTGTGATTGGACCATTGAAACAGGTGAAAAAGCGACCTCGAAAAGGCGCAGTCCAACGATAAAGTCGTCGACTCCTTAACTGGTTCGCTTTGAACATCAGAGCATCCATACTCGCAAGTGTTATAAGGGGTGGGATGGGACATTGTTGGTGGGTGATTGAAAGTGATAACAAGTGAACAAGGCCGTTAAGGTGCGTTACGACCCAATAGTCGCCATTTCTGTTAGGTAGTTCGCGTTGGTATTAGAGCTTCCAAGGTTACAGGAGTAATGTGAGGTGAGACCGGGAAATTGCTGGTGAGCGAGTCTAGTAAGTCAGTCTAGCGGTCGTCTCAACCAAATCCTACCGTACATCTGAGGTGAGTCGAAGGTGCATGTGTTTTACAATGCCCCCTAGATCCTTCTAGGTCTATAGGGGAATGTTTGATTGGGATGATGTCTATGCGGAGGTCGTCAATGATACTTTGATTTCCCGGCCTTAACGATAAGGCGACCAAAAACCGAAGTTAGCGTAATACAATGTCCTCTCTGCAACATCTGTCTTGTGGTCTCAGAAGGCAAACATAAGAGACTGTTATTTCTAATTATCTTTTCAGACTTCATTATTGCGATCTTCCGATCTTTTAAGGTATTTTTTCACGAAGAGCACATATAACTAGAATATGGGCTACCGGCGTGGTGTCAAAGGAACACGCTGAACCAGCGTACTCAATCCAGGTAACTCATAAATATCTTTGTTAGAAGCAACTCGCGATGAGTTCAAGGCTACCCCTATGCCTTTCGATAAGATACAGGCTACGAATAGCAGACATTCTGTCGCGACCAAAATCCGCCACAAAGCGCTACGACAATGCCAAGGATCCTGAAGGTTGCCGGTGGCCCCTAATCACTTGTTGTAAGAATTTTTGGGCTGACGTCGCTTCTTCGCTCACTTACATTGCTTTGCTAATCTTGTTCGAACGAAAATTCTATGAAGAGCTGTCGATATGTCTCTCATTGTACGAAAATAAATCTGTTAAGTGCCAGATACTTATTGGTAGATGGAAGAGAGTAACCTTCATTCTCATAGCAGTCCGTGCTCGCGTAATGTGTGGGCTCAGGTCAGAATCTAGCATGACGAGCCTTGCGTTTAAAAACTTTGCTGTAGTTTTGGTTTGAAAGATTATCACTCAACAATTAAAACATCATAACGATCATGGGACAAAATCCAGTGCAGGCCGTTATGTTAAAAGTTCGAGATTTGGATCAAATGCTAGAGCGGTTGACAAATACAATTTGAAAGATGATAGACCTAGTTTGACAATTGACTCAGATTTGGATCTACGTGAAAAGTTCTATACGAAGGTTTGAAAAGGCTTAATTTGATACATCTCTTCTTGCTTCCAGAAACCAGACGCTGCGCGAAGCAGGGCGACCACCACCACAAGAGAAGGATGGCTCAAGTATAATTTTGTAACTAGTGCATTGTAGTTGATATATAGTTCCCAGCGGCGTTTTGTATATATATACTGTGCTTGTTGGACAAATCTGATATAGAATGCGACAGGCGACTGGCAATCTGTCTTTCACTTGGTAGATGACATTGACATTTTTGTTGCGAGGCCATCGTTCACTTGTGCGCGCGTGGTCTGCACTTCACCTTTTGCGTTTTCGGAAACAGAGGGTGCATAGTAAGTTTTTCCGCTCTGCTCTGATAAGTGCTATTGGACATTACGTATTCTTTATGACATTATATTTTTAGAAAACACGTTGATATGAAATGAGAACTAGATATTAAAGGACATTTACGAAACACAGATTGAGAGTTTTGGCAATGAATTCGTTGCAGGACCTATACCCTCTGGTGAAAAACACAAAGATCATGCTCGGCGTAGTATGGCCGGACCGTCACGTTGCATTTCCGGACTTCCTCGATCCGACCAATGCCACAAAGAACTGGTGGATTCAGGAAATCGTTAACTTCCACAAGAAGGTGACGCAGTAGTTTAGGCTCCAGGCTATTATAATTCGTCACACTCTCACATTGGCAATTTCCGTAGGAATTCTCATTGCTGCAGAGAGAGTAGGTAAACTGGATCAGAATGCTGCTATGCGAAATAATAACTGTAGCGGTAGGTGGGGGGGATGTGTTAGTGGGATGAGTCTCCTTCACATACTTCAGGGTATTATTACCAACTAGCCCCTAAAAGGAGGTTATGAAAATTTGTGAACTCGATTAGTTTTTGTTTAAACAGAAGGATTTTGGAAGGAGGGTGTTAAGCGAGGTCCACCTAAAAGTTTGAAATCACACCGGCACTGCAGTGGTGTGAAACAGGGCCATACATACTTTCGTAACGTTTTCTGGCGAACTTCGCCTACTTTGCTGCGCGCTCCACCCACCAATAGCATATAACTTCCTTTCCGCAGCTGGCCTCCTATCTGACCTCTACCCCCTTCTACCCAGTTTCTAGGATTTTTTGGAAACGGGTCATAGGTTTCAAAAAAACTCCGCTCACTTTGGTGCGTGCGCCGCCCGAAAATAGTACCTAGTTATTAGTTATTTCCTTTGCGGACTTCTATCCACTTTTTCTCGGTCTCCAAGGCTTCTTGGGACCGAGTTAAGCTTGGTAGCAAACTCCGCCCACTTTTGTGCAAGCCACGCCCACCATTACATTTAGCTTCCCCTCCCCTCCTGACCTCTATCCGCTTTTTTCCGGTCTCTAAGACTCTCGGAGCCGAATTATGAGGACTTGTAGAAAACGCTGTACACTTCAGAGCTCCGCCCATTGTGGGCGGGCCTCCGCCCACGTCATGTATGCTGGAACACCTTAGACATTGCTCCCTACACCAATTTGTTTTCTGCTCTGTAGGCTTTCTCCCAACCGAGTTATGAAATTTTTCATAAAGCACTGCTTTTTTAGAGAACGCCCCGCCCACCGGGGGTGGGTCTCCCTAATTCGATCTGACTTACCAATGCACACCTTTACCCACTTTTTCCCAGGTCTCGAGGCTGTTTTGTAACTGAATTTGAAATCTTGGTACAGTTCATTTCGATGCACGCCACGCCCACTGTGGGCGGGGCTCCGCTTGGCTGATGTATGTTTTGCACTTCTTGAAATATGATACACCCATCCCGCACATGAACCAGTCTCTCCAGGCGAATCTCCAGAAAGTAGGGAAGTTCTCGTGACAACGGACACCGTGACACTTACACTCAGACAGTCAGAACATTATACAGTGCGTATCAAAAGCATAAAAGCACCTCTCAAAGTGCCGTTCCGAGTTAAAATGGAGAATTCATATCTTGCTTCTATCTTATTGAATTTAGCATGTTCAGAAACTATAGTACACTTAATTTTGGAAAGCAATGACGACCACATAAATTTTTATAAGAAAAATCAAGAATATCATCGTCAAAAGTATAAAGACACTCGAGCTGAGGACTTCGACGGTAAAATTTCTCCAACTTACGCAAATACATGCTTATCAGGGATGATGTCCGAAACTCGAAGGAGCCTTAAAGGCAAAGTTCGGGCTCAGACCCACTTAATGAGCCTTTACGGTGGCTAGAAGCGCTAGGTACGCAAGTGTAGAGGTCGCGTCACTTCCCTACTTCGAAAAGCGTTATTTAGACGCTAGGCGCTAAGAACTTTGACACGCTCCACCTGTTGCGACACGCTCCGCCCACCGCTCGATATCTTGTCTGCGTCGCAATGTTGATCTGCTATGCTCTCTCTACTCGGACTTCTCTAGCGCTCTCCGCGCTCACATTATCTCTCATCTCCCTGCCGGCCTTTTGAACTTCTCCGCAGCGTAGAGCAAAAGCTTCGTATTTCCTGTGTATTTCACAACTTTTTTTCCTT